CTTGTTTTTTTTCATTTCAAACATACAACATCCAAGAAAAAAAAGGACCCTGAGAAGATACAACTCCCCATAAACAAAGATATGCATAGCTCTGGATAGACAACTCTACCTCCTTCAGCCTATAATTCATAGAGAACACATCTCCATTAATTCAGAGTAACTTCTCCAACCCACAAGTCCTTTCTTTTAATTTTTTTCAAAACACTCATTTCAATATTAAGCCCCTTGCTACTTCCATGTTCTTCCTCTTTTCTCTGAAAATGCAAGAACATTTTGCATCTCACAGTCCACTGATACAGGATGTAGTACATCTCTCTTTTCAGCATCTTCCTTCTGTTCTTCCTGATCAGGTTCTACCAAATATTCCGGCTCCAAACCTCTATTTCTTCCCCTTGAATCCAACAGGAAAAATGATGGCTATCAGATATGGCTGGGAGAGATCTGGTTCTCAGGGACAATTTTGGTTGCAATCATGGTCAGCAGGGTACACACCTGCTATAAAAATTTCCTCGGGACTGGGGAGGAAACATGGGGTCAACCATACCACTACCATATTAACTTTGCTTCCTATGGTGATCACCCCAGGATGGACGGAAGGCACAAGATGCCCAGCTACCAAAAGTAAAGCCGTCTTTTAAACGGACCTTAAGACTACTCAGACCCTGTCTCTTTATCTTCTTTTATTGGAATTTAGGCAAACTCAATGAAACTAACTTAGCTGAAAGGATGAAAAAAAGGTGAAATTCCCTGATTCTATAAATAAGATTTTGTATGCTGAAGTGGAGAAAGAATGAAGTATGCTTAAAATAAAATTTAAAAGTTAGAACATTTCTTTTAAAGAGTTTAGACTTTGAATTTGGACTGTGTTTGGACGTTTTTCTAAGTTGGAAGAGGAACCTAAAGTTAATTAACATTAATTAAATAAATTCAAGAAAACTTACTCCATGAAAAAGCTATGAGAAGAAAGTAGATAATGGCATTCGTAGACTAAAGTAAGTGGTTGTTTATGAATTGAGTGAAATTGGACTATCTCTGCTGCCATTTAGTGGTCACTCAAAAATTGCAGATGAGAGGGGGAAAGTGAGTGAAAGGAATGGAGGAGACAGGTTTGCTAGAGAAAAATCCAATTACTTTTGTAACTTGTCAGGAGAGCTACATATCGAGAATGATGAAGAGAGAGATTAATTAGAGAATATTTTCTTTAACCTGTGACCCCAATAAGCATTCCTCAGCCCCTTGGACAAAATTTTGGTTTCTCTGAACAGGGCAACCTGTTGACAACAAAAGGTTTGTGACATTGTGGTTTGCTAAAAAATGACATAAGGGCCTTTACAGACTTCCAGAAATAATGCAGCTTGAGTCCACTTTAACTGCCCTGGCTCAGTGCTAGGGAATCATGGGAATTGTATTTTTCTGAGACATTGAGCCTTCTCTGTAAGAGAGTTCTGGTGCCACAATAAACTACAGTTCCCATGATTCCATAGCACTGAGCCAGGGCAGTTAAAGTGGTCTCAAGCTGCATTATTTTTGGCAGTCTGTAAAGGCCCATAAGATTTCTTCCCCCCCCCCTCCCCATCACATTACAGAGTGATGTAACTCTGATGAACTAGTAAGTCACATCTGGGTGCATGAGGGTTAAAGCATCCATTATAAATAACCAAATGTTACAGGAAGTATTTTAATAAATTGTCTACCTTTTCTAATGCAAATTAGTTCATGTACTCCACAGGTTCTTTCTCCACCTGGTCACAAAAAAAAGAAAATTAGGAAGTGTTTAAAATGATATAAAATATACTTATAAAGTGTCTTTAACCCCTCTTGTGGTATACTTTAGCTATAAATATAATTTTAATTCCAACTAAAATAATACCTTTGAAATCACTGGGCATTATATTAGCATTGATTACAAGTGCCATTCACTTTTATGGATTTATTCTGGTTGATTTAGCCCTTATATAATGGTCTGATGTTAGTTTATACTTATTTCAAGTACATAGAGTCTTCAACACTATTTCATATATGATTCAAAATAAATAAACAATACTTTATATTGAAAGAACTTAATTTGAAGCAAACATATTCTTTACTCAAATTTCAGCCAAGTATCTTTTCAAGTTCTGGATTATGACAAATATAATTATATAAACAATACCAAGTAAAACAGCAGCATTATACAATTTGTTTTATTTTATTTTATTTAAATTGTATACATAATTATACAGCGTTTCCTACTTTAAAATCCTGAAGAGATTTCAACAAAATATAAAACAGTAACAATGGAACAACCATACAAAGTACAAGGTTTCATAAGAAAATGACTAATTTAATTAGTCCATATCCTGGCAACACAATGCATTTATCTCTGATCTTTTAAACAACTGAACTGTACAAGAACCAACAAATGCACAATGAATTTAATAGGTAAATTTAATAGCTAAGCAAGCAGACTGAAATATGGATAAGAAAGCCTCTTGTTTATTGCTGCCAAACTGAGCTATACATCATGGCTTATCAACAACAATCTTTTCCCCCCCTCCCTCAAAACCACAGTGGTCTAATGGGTGTATTTGGAGAGAAATGGATATGTTATTTTGGATTTGCCCATCAACAGTAATACCTTTGACTTGGGTGGTAGCAGGACATACAGTTCTTTTAGACTGCCACATAATGGCAGCATTGTAACAGGAAAGATTTCCTTTCAATACAAGGAAAATGGAACATCCTATCTTGTTTACAAGATGGTTATAACTTCCATGAGACTTCTGGGAGCACTTATCACTTTGTAAAGAAACTATACAGTGTCAATTGTGGTGTAGTAGTTTAGGTTTTGAATTAGGACTCTGGAGACTAGGGGTTGAATTCCTGCTCAGCCATGGAAACCCACTGAGTGACCTTGGGCAAGTTACATTTTCTCATCCCCAGAGGAAGGCAGCAGCAAAAAAATCCCAGAACAAATTTTGCCAAGAAAAGTCCATGATGGGTCCCCCTAAGTTGGAAATGACATGAAGGCACACCACAAAGAAGCCATGCATACTCCATGCATCCTGTTTCAGAACTTTTTTGCCATCCCTGTTGCATAGCTGAATTTCAGTTGGGAAGGGCACTAGCCCCTGTCTACAAAAATAGTCATGGAAACCATAACAATTCAGAAGAATAAAGCATTATTTGAGTTCTAACAATAATACATTAATCCATGATTTAGCAAGAAAACTGAGCTGAGGCTACAGTATGTCATATTGATATCCATATCACTAAATTATTTCTTATATTCTCTACCAGTTATTTATATTATATCCAACACCAAAGTACATTGATTTAAACAGTGGTGCATCGTCTTTGTGATTTGACACTCAAAAGAGTGCATTCATTTAATGTAAATGGATTAACAAGTTATACTATGACAAAACAAGACAGGTTTTTATAGTCACACAAAAGCTCCCTTTGTATTTTTGTGATACACAAATACTTCATGCTTTTCCCTTGGTTTTTTTCACTGGGGCTTAGGATCCCCCATGGATACCAAAATCCATGGATGCTCAAGTCCCATTAAATGCAGTGGTATAGTAAAATGATATCCCTTATATAAAATGGCAAAATCAAGGTTTGCTTTTAGGAATGTATATTTTAAATATTTTCAAGCCATGGATGGTTGAATCTATGGACAAAAAATCCATGGTTATGGAGGGCTGACTTTATTCCATTATTTTCATGAATATTCCTCATTTTTAGAAAGAAGGAATTAAAATCAATGCTTACAAGACAAACTGACAAGGATAATGAAGATGGCAATGGCTATTAAGTTCATCAAAATATCAGCTGGACATCAGCTGGAAATAACATCAGAGACTATGGTACTCTGTTGACATCTTGTATTATGATACACTTCACAAGAAAATAAAACTGGTCTCTGTCAGAGAGAAGATATTTGGTTATGCAAAGCATTGCTCTTTCTCATTTAGCACATTTCTTCAATTAGATATTTATTAATTTACATAATTTATATTGAAATTATTTCCCCCAGTAGTATTTATCACACTTTGTTTTGTTTAAAACAAACAAACCACAACTCTGTTTTATACAGAAGCTCTTTTGCCACTCGTGATGCTAAAAAAGAGGGAGAAAGCTTCCTACTTATGTTCCCAAGAAGATGCTTTTGTAAGTGTAACTATTACTTAGCATGTGGCACCTCAAATGGTAAGGACCTGATTCAGGTTACAATCCTATGCACAGTTAAAAGGTAAAGGTTTCACCTTTGACAAGGTTGTTAAGTCGTGTCTGACAGTAAATCCCACTGAAGTCCAAGTAAAGGTACATAGAGTCAGACTGTGACACACTTTAAAGAGTCAAGTGAATTCTGTTTTAAAAGCACTGAATACAGGAATGCCAAAGAAACGAGGAAAGAAGTAATGCCTGCTTCACTTTGTGGATTCTCCATAGCTATTCACCTGTTAAAAACTTTTCGGAAGTATACACAGGATTGCTGCACAATGTGGTATGCTTTTAATGAGAAATAATGCATTTTCCTCATTCATGATTTTTCAGATTCAGATTCTGAACAGGGCAGAAGCAGCAACACTCCACGCAACAAACTAAGACTGAAAGAACAGGACCTCCAGATGAGGTAGAGAGAGAAAAAAAAGCAGGCAGAGGCCAGAAGGTGTTAACCACAAAATATAAATACACATATACACCAAAGCCAACTGTGCATGAGGACTGAGAAGGAGGGAGCCATGGGATTAATTTACTTTGGAAAAAAAAAGGTTTGCAACCAGAAGGTTCTTGTTGCAAACAAATGAGAACAAGATTATTATTTTAGAAAGAATAAAATTGATCATTCCTCTTTGCCTGCTCCAATGCTTCATGCTCCTTTAGCCAAATATACACAACATAATTTGGCTAATATATATATATAATACGCAATATACATGCACGCACGCACGCACATGCACACGCACACACGTATCAGAGAGAGAGAGAGAGAGAGAGAGAGAGAGAGAGACAGCCTGGTGGAGTGGTCTGAGTGTTGGACTATGACTCTGAAGTCCATGGTTCGAATCTCTGCTCGGCCATGGAAACCCAATGACTGACCCTGGACAAGTCACACACTCTCAGCCTCAGAGGATGGCAATGACAAACCACCTTTGAAGAAACATGCCAAGAAAACCCATGATAGGTTCACCTTAGGTTTA